TATCTGGCGGCATGCCTTGATGTGTTATGCTTGTCTTGGTCTTGTATTTTTACTCATAGATGTCCTATTGTCTAAGTAGGACTAGGAGAAGTATGGATATGTTCCGAGTAGTCTATGTAGTTTCCATATAAAACTCTACTGCTTATTTCTTATCCGGAATACCTTCCGTATGTGAGGCTTAATTCCATATAAGACTTGGTATATGGTGAGTCCCGCCGTGTATATATAGTCAACTACTATTAGATATGTAGTATCTATAACCATGACACTTAGATGCAATTGATTTGTTTTTTTCTTTCAGTAATTTTACTTCTATGTTTCATGGAAATAAAGAGGAGCCTAAACCTTTTCTGGTTTCAATGTTTTAAGAGCAATTTCAAATCTCAAAAAGGTTGGGAAAGTTTTAGGATTATTCAGCATGAGATTCAATTGCACTCTGTTGATAAGGGCCTAACAGTAGGGGATTTGGGTTTGTATAGCTTTAATTTGCACATGCATGCTGCGAGCGTGTGTCTCGAGGAAAAGAGTATAAAGACTGCATAATTTTTTGGATAAAAATAGTGTATAGGTTTAATCATACTGAAAAATTAAATCTCTCACCAGCAACTAGCTTGCTAAAATAACAAACCAATAAAATCAACTTTTCTCTTCATATAAATACTTTATAAATACTTTTTACACCCAAAACATCAAATTACAGTACAAGTTGGAGCTTTTGTAAAGTGAAGTATAAATATGAAAACCCGAAATGTATTTTCAGTTAGTTACATGCATGACTTACCAGTCAGCAAATATGCCATATATATGGCTTATCACACACATGGATTTTTACACTTTGTGTCACACGGTGCTTCAAGAAATTAATGCATTGTCAATTCAAAACCCCCTTCATCAGGTATTTGAAAAGGAGTTTCCAATGTCAAGGTCACTGGGTGAACCTTCTTCTGCATCGGTCATCGGTCATTCCAAGTTACACTCAGGGGCACATCGGTCATCAATTGTTCCAAGTTACACTGAGGGGCAGAGGCAGAAAATAGAACGAGTGAGGGGCTAAGAATGTACCGCTTAGATAGACTAAGAAAGTAAAAAGTATTAAAGCGGGCATTTGCCCCCACGCGCTGCAAAATTGAGTGGGAGGCCAAGGCCCCCACTTGTTACACTCTAAATCTGACCATGGATACACTGATGAAATCCTACAAGTAAATAAATCCACTACAATGCTCCACTTGCCACTGCTGGAATTCCCTCTTCCATGTCCCTAAGGGCCTTGCAGTGGAATGTCTTGTCATGAAGCCTTGAATGAAACTGATAAGCATAAATATTTCCCCTGAACCTGTGGAATGAACAAATTGTAGTTACAACTTACAAACATATATAGAGTATCTTGTTTTTGCAAAATGAACAAAAATTTAACCTCATAACTTAAGCAAATTATGAACCTTTTTCCGTTTGTGAAATAATGAGTCAGCTTTCCTCACAACCATACCACATTCATGGCATACACGACCCAAATCTTCATAAACATGAATATCGTGGTTGTAATTGTTCAACTGTTTTTTATTATTCACTTCCGATGTGTCGAGCTGTCCAAAACATATAATTAGAATAAAAAAATTAACAATGATTGGCTTCAAAAGCATGTATTTTGTGGTTTCAACTTGTACCTGTGTGCTCTCCACAGCCACATAGAAAGCACCCCAACGATCCTTAAGACAATCTGCTGCTGGATCTACCTCTCCTTTTTGTTTTCTCTCCCTAGGGATGGCCATAGTGCTATCACTGAAATGAAAGTCCTGGTCAGATTTCTGATGTTTTTCTTCCATCTTCTCCATGTTGCCACTGGCCTACAGTAAGCAAAAGTGAGTAATTGTTTGAATAGCTGGAAGTAAAATAGATTTAAGAAAGAGTAAATTGTGTCGTGGGTATTGGCAAGGGGGTGCACGTAGTTACAACTTAAAAATTATTAAGCCCATGGGTTGAAAAAATTGACAGGTGGGTATATTTGAGTACAACTAGAGAAATTTCAGAAAATTTAGACTATTTTGACCGTTGAACAAACTTTAGCTGAATTTGATAAACTTGCTAAATTAAAAAAAATTGATTTTTTTGGGGCTAAATAATTCCGTATCAAGAAGGGGATAAAATAACCCAAAAGGTTGTGTCCAAAATATTTAACCCTGTTCATATGCAAAGTTGAATATTCCATGTAAGAATTGCAAGTGAAAGGCACGTACCAAAATTATTGTTTCTCTTTCTTCTGCTTTCTCCACGGAACAATTGCAAATTCTTCCTAGAACTTCTGTAGTGTTGTATCCCCATCCACAAATCTTGTTTTCAACAGAAACTGCAATATGGATGGAACTCTGATTGATTTCAGCGCTTAATTGAAATAGATAGCCCTGTCTATATCTCTATCTCTATCTCTACTACTTAAAAAATAAGAGGTGTTTCCGTCGTCCGTCAAAAAAACCGGCGAAAACAAATCAGGCAAGCGAAAAAAACCGGGTGAAAAAGGGGGAAATCGAATTTGTCAGATAAATAAAACCACGTGAAAAAAATAATCCGATTCCATGTTAAAAAAGGGTAAAAAAAATAATAATAAAAAGAATCGGACCGATTAAAAAAAAGGAATCGGGCGACAAAAAAGAATCCCATTCCGTGTAAAAAAAGAGCGAAAAAAATAAATAAAAAAAAGAATCGGTCCGATTCCAAAAAGAAAAGGAATCGGGTGAAAAAAAAGGGTGAAAAAAACCTGGAAAAAACGAATCCGATCTGTGGACGCGGTAAAAAAGGGCGAAAAAAAATAAAGAACGAATCTGTCTAATCCAAAAAAAAAAGGAATTATATGTGACGCGGTAAAAAAAATCGAATCCTATTACATATGACACGATACTATATATCTCTATCTCTACTTACTTACAAAATTGAAAACGTTTTCGTCGTCTGTAATAAGTAATAACGAAAAAAGGCGAAAAAACATTAAAACAAAAAAAGAAAGTCCGATTCAATTTACTTCCGTCGTCCATGAAAATATTATCTTATCTTAATCTCAATCTTTCCGAGAGGACCGAGCGGCGCCCTCCATCCCCGCCTGTGCGATGAAACGCTGGCCAAAACAAAAAAAGAAAAAACTGAAATTGAGCAAAGGGATAAACTAGATTGAAGTTCCCAAAATTAAAAGAGGATAAACGATATTAAAACTCCCCTAAATCGAAAACAAGGAATAAAATAGATTGAAATTTCCCAACAAAATTCCCCAAATCCAAATAACCCTAATTTCGGGTAAGAACCCTAAGAGTCAAAATCCAAATCAATTAAGCTAAGGGTTTAGGTTACTTAACGGACTTGAAGCCTCTAAGTTCACCGGAGCTTTCTGAGAAGCTGCACCGCCACACCTTCACCTCCTCGCAGTCGCGACGGGTTCCCTGTGCGCGCGCTATCTTGGAGCACCCCTCCACCGTCCTTGGCGTCGCACCTCTCGCCGACGAGGTCTAGGCCGCTCGGCGCTCATCGCCGTTTGTGCGCCCGCCTAGCTAGGCCGCCGTCGCCGCCTTCGCCGTCATTCCGCTCGCTTGTCGCTGGAGAGAAATGGGATCGGGAGAGAGGGATTTGGGAGCTAGGGTTTTGCCCTTCTCTCCCTATCGGTGCTTCATCTGGCGCGGGGAATATCGGAGCCGTCCATTAGATCAGACAGCTCAGATTCACCCAGCGTCGGGCCGCCGCTGCCGATTACGCTGCGCTTAATGGGCCGCGGAAGTGCATCAGACCGTCTCCACATAAGTAGGCCGCGCTCAGCTGCTCGGCTTGCGGGCCGTCGAATTGACTCGGCTCACCGAAGATGGGCCAGCCCAAGTTTGGGCCGGTTTGGGAAGACCTGGGCCGAAAGCAAATTTGATCAAACAATGTGGCTCAGATTTTTTAAATTAAAGCCCGTTGGATAGACTCCTAAGTAGGCTCGAAAAATAAATTTAAAACTAAATCCTAAATCCTATGCTAATTTATCAAATTAGACTTGGTTCTACCTATTTGTTAATATATAAAATTAGACTTGATTTTTACCGATTCGAGGTTTTTAAGGTGTCACATTATCAAATGGTGTTTTTCCCGTTGCAACGCATGGGCACTATTGCTAGTATATACACATATATATATATATATATGCGCGTGACTTTTATGCTATCTCTAAATTCTTCTATATATATACATCCTAGTCTACACAATGCCACCAAATTTTGTATTACATATCTACCTTGTTGCAGCCAATTCTTAAGCGTATGCACCACCTTTCTTCCCTTCCCAAAGTAGTATAGCAGAGCAAAAGGCACAGCAGAGCAGAGAGAAGGAAGAGGTAATGGTCCTGCGACTGCCAATAGATGGGGAGGGGTTGCAGCCTATAAGACAACTCCAAGAATGGAGTCGGCAGAGAGCATGAAGGAAGGCCGATTTAGAGGTGTTTTCATCGAAATTTATTTTTCAGTCTTTGCTTTTAGATTGCTAAGAACACGTGTTTAAAAGTTTTATTCATAAATTACTTTTTGTTTGCAAATTCTTAGAGGGGCAATTAATACAAATTATGTTCAAAAATCAGTTTAGTTGCACTGTTTAGCATTGCGAATCTCAAATTGTAGAAGAGGTCAAGCCCCTTGCTCGCCTCCCCATTCCTCGGCCACTCACCGAGCGAGTTTTTGCCACTTAAGCCAACATAAATAAGTTACTTTCATGTTTCTATTCGTTGCTCGTCTTCATAGTAAAGAAACCAGAATCCTTAATTAGCTAAATCATGCCACGACCTTTTCTTGTTGAGTATCAACCCGATATTAGAAGATGAGGGAATTAAGAACGACTTCAAATCAATGGCATAAATCAAAATTTTTTACTTGCCTAGGGTGTCTTCTTCAACTTTAAAATATACTGATCTTTTGGATATGCTTACAGAGATATATAGAGTATACGTGTGTACGTTCATATGGGTAAGTATACATGCGTTGTGAGCGTCTGTGTTTTGTCCGTGTTTCTTAAAGAAAAAGTTCGATTTATACCATCGACTTTAACATCTGATCTTTTCTTTAGTCAAGAGGTAAAATGAGCTTATGTCTTCACTGTACAATGATTTGTCTGTGTCTCTCTCTTGTCACATGCCTAATACTCCTAATTTTGCCAAAGATCTAGGACGCACTAGACCCCAATACTTTTGAGCTCACTTGAGAAGAGAAGATCAATTCGGTTTGAATTGATGATTACTACCCAGTCGGCTTCAGCAGTTGCCTTTGTCAAAGCAAAAGGAAAGTGGTGACAAAAAGAAGAAAAGAAAGAAAAGAAGAAACCAAGAGAGAGAAGAATCCTTTGGCTGTGTGGAAAGTTGGATAGCCAAAGGTGAACACCAACAGTGCTTACTGTCACTGCCAGTACCACTGCTTCAGTTAGCCATGGATGGATACTTGGATACCTCCAGCTTTTGCAAGCTTCTTGCTTATCCTTGATGCTGCCCTTGCTTGCAAGCAAGGCAATCTGCCCCTTTTCGTCGTACAAAATACGAAAGATACGTATAAGGGTGATTTTTCCCATCCACGAGGAAATACCAAATTTTACACTAGAAAATGGTACTTCCCGGGTACCAATCAAGAACCATAAGATTTCTCTACATATTGAGAGAGAACATGTTGTATTTACAGGGACACAGACGAAGGAGAACACATGAACAAAGTGGACTAACATAGTTTCAGAGGCAATGCTTAAGTACCGGTTTTTTTCAGAATCTTGGTCACCTTGGCCTATAACATTACCTACGTTTACCAGAATTTATCAGATAAAAATTCGAATCCAAAATTTCGAATTCAACAATGCTTACCGCCAGTATCATGGACACTGAGTCCTGAGCTGGACACATTATTAAAACAAACTGTTGCTTCACTGACTAAACCCATGTCAATACTGAATCATAGACAAGGGCAGAAGCATAACCAACCAAAGAACTATATTACTGGTATGCAGCTTTTAGATATAGGGTACTGACCATTTTAGGACACATCATTGAGATGGCCACACCTTCCTATGGCTGTTAATTTTTGTTACCTGCACAACACCAAGTATAGTAACACAAACATCAAAAGGAAAGGGAACATGTATCAATCCCTATTAAAAAAGTATGAGCAAATGACCCAATATCCGCGACAACAGGTTCGAACACACAAAAACCTGGGTACACACAACAACCAAAGGAGAAAGGATAGAGGAGTATCAGCTCCCTGATCTCTGTCCCCAATTGGTAGAAACTACAAAAGAAGTCTCGATGAACATGAAATTAACGAAGTCTTGGATAAATGTAAAACTGTCCTAGCTTGCCACCACAGTGTAGTCACTGTAACACTGATCCTGGAGGAAATACCACATTTCAGAGCAATGATCATGTCATAGGATCAGCAATACAATGTGCACATGGGTGTACAACAGCCAGCCTGCCTGCCTGCTTGCTTGTTTACCTACAAAGAGAATTCATGATTAGAATGACTTATAGAGTTCATTGTCTAAAAAAACTTATTTTTTTTAAAAAAAATAGCTTGCATAGTTCTAGAATAGAATGGAAGGAGAGAGAGAGAGAGAGAGCAAGGCAAACATTTCACCTTTGATACAAAGCCTTGATATCCTGACGAATAACATCAGTCTCCAACAATTCATCTCTGGAGCCATCGATACAGACTTGATTCAGCTTGAAGTCTTCAGTTGTGCAGCGCCCGCTCCATTGGAACCATAGCTTTGGTATGACTTCCTTGTTGAATGCAGTTTCATGGGCCTTCTCCTCTGGAGAATCAGCAGCTACAAGTCTATACACAAACACTTTCTTCTTCTGTCCAGGCCTGAATGTGCTCCCGATGGCTTGGCGCGTAACAGACGGGTTCAGGTGAACATCTAGGATGACAATTCTTGATGCACCCACAAGGGAGATGCCCTCCCCAAATGCCTTGATGGAACCAAACAGAACTTTTGCATCGGCAGAGCCGTTGAACTGATCCATTGCCAATTGTCCATCTTCCATGCTAGTATCACCATTTATCACAAAAATTTCCTTCCCTACATGCCAGCCCATCTCCTTAACCAGCAGCCTTTCCAAAAATTTCATGGGGAGTGTATACTGACTAAAAGCAACTAATTTCTCTCCTGCAGAGTTGGCAAGCGCAAGGATGTTCAGAAAAAACCTGGCCTTCACCCCATCTCCCAGGTTGATGCTGTTGACCAAACTATCAACTCTGTCATCCCTATCAACATCATTAGCTTCAGAAATTTCTGAAAGGCAAGGGTGAACATAGAGTGCAGCCCCTACAGCGCTTGTTTTGAGCATCCCATGGTCTTCTTCTAACTTGCAAAGAATGTCTTTCTGCTTGGGACTGAGTTCCAAGAACACACTGAAGTCTAGTAAGACAGGAAATTCATTCAAGTCCTCACCCTTACAGTAGTGAAGCACATCTTTGGTTAGTTCTCCAAGACTTCTGATAACATTAACTTTTCTTGTGAAGTTATCATCATTCAGCAGGGTATCTTCCATTGACTCAGAGATCTCTGTTATACTCCTGGCACTTGATATTTCTAGTTGACCCATCATACGTGTAACAATGGGCCAGAATGTCTCCGTCTTGAGAAAACCTGGGCGTACAAGATCCAAGGTGTTAAACACTTCCTTGACATGATTATGGAAGAGTGTACCAGACATGACCACTTTGCATGGCGTTTGCACTTTGCGCGCAGATTGTAGCATATCAGTCTCATCAATGCTAGGTGTATGGCCCTCATCAAGTATCAACAAGCTGGGGACCATAAGAAGCGTGTCCCTGCATTCAGCTACAGCATTTTCATCCCTATCATCGCAGACAATTTGGGTGAAATGCTTGGATCCAACAAAGAGTATGCTCCTCTTAGAGCTCCAAGATTTTAGGACTTCCAGTTGCTCTACTCTATTGTCAGCCTTAATAGAATCGAAATCATACAGTGGTATGTCCTCCACTTGCCACTGCTGGAATTCTCTCTTCCATGTACCTAATATCCCTTCAGGAAGCACAACAAGGGGCCTTGCAGTGAAATGTCTTGCCATGAAGCCTTGAATGAAACTGATAAGCATAAATATTTCCCCTGAACCTGGGGCATGAACAAGAATGCAGCCTCCAGGTTCATCAGTGACCAAGTTATTAACCAGGAATTTGAATCCTTCCAACTGATGAGGCCGGATATTCTTGGCATGTCTTGGATGAATGGCAATATCTGAAAATATGAAATCTTCAGAGAGACTAATAGCATCAGAGCCTACCTTCTTCAAGCAAACCTCATTCACATTTGTTCTTTTCCTTGAAGCCTGATATGAAGTGAACATTAGAAACACTTTTCCAAATTATATACTCTTCTATCTAAATGTTACACATTCGAATTTTCAAGATCGCCAAGTAAAACTTGATAATAGTGTATGAAAGTATTCCAAGTTGCACTAAATGAAAAGGAAACAAGTAAATAAATCCACCACAATACTGACAAATATACTACCACAAGTCAGAAGTTTTTGAGGAAATGGAAGTTATATAGAAGTTAAGTAGTTTTTCTAAAACATTGTTAGCATTTTTATTACTATATATTTCACAAATTCTTCTTCACTTTGACATCCTCTTCCATCGTCACTGTCATGACTTTGAAAGCATCTAATTTGCTCCACTTGTACCATGGGCATAAGAGATATTAGGAGGAAGGGTGATGTGTACAACAATGCAAATGTATAGCTAACAGTAGGCATGGAGGTTTCATGTCGAAAATTAATTTGCAGGGTCTGTATCTCTAATGGGGGACTAAAAAGAACTCCCTAAAGGTGTGTGCTTTTCCTCTTAAAGAAAGAAAAACAAAAAAGGTGTGCACACTCATATTTTTCACCAATTGTAGTTACAAGCATATATAGAGCATCTTGTTTTTGCAAAATGAACAAAAATTTAACCTCATAACTTAAGCAAATTACGAACCTTTTTCCACTGATAGTGAAATAATGAGTCAGCTTTCCTCACGACCAAACCACATTCATGGCATACATGGCCCAGATCTTCATAAACATGAATATCGTGGTTGCAATTGTCCAACTGTTTTTTATTATTCACTTCTGATGTGTCGAGCTGTCCAAAACATATAATTAGAATACAAACTAAACAAAGATTGACTTCAAAAGCATGTATTTTGTGGTTTCAACTTGTACATGTGTGCTTTCCGCAGTCACATAGAAAGCATCCCAAAGATCCTTAACATAATCTGCTGCTGGATCTAGCTCGCCTTTTCTTTTTCTGTCCCTAGGGATTGATTTCTGTTGTTTTTCTCCCATCTTCTCCGTGTTGCTAATGGCCTACAATAAGCAAAAGTGAGTGATTGTTGGAATAGCTAGAAGTAGAATAGATTTAAGAAAGAGTAAATTGTGTCGTGGGTATTGGCAAGGGGGTGTACGTATTTACAACTTAAAAGTTATTAAGCCCGTGGGTTAAAAAAATTGGCAGGTGGGTATATTTGAGTACAACTAGAGATATTTCAAAATTTCAGAAATTTTTGGACTATTTTGACAGTTGAACAAACTTTAGCTGAATTTGATAAATTTGCTAAATTAAACAAATCTGATTTTTTTTTGGGGGGACTAAAGAAGTCCGTATCAAGAAGGAGATAAAATAACCCAAAAAATTGTATCCAAAATATTGAATCCTGTTCATATGCAAAGTTGAATATTCCATGCAAGAATTGCAAGTGAAAGGCACGTACCGGAATTACTGTTTCTCTTTCTTCTGCTTTCTCCACAGAAGAATTGCAAATTCTTCCTAGAACTTCTGTAGTGCTGTATCCCCAACCACAAATCCTATTTTCAACAAAAACTGCAATATGGATGGGACTCAGACTGATTTCAGTGCTTAATTGAAATAGATAGCCCCGTCTATATATACATGTACACATATATACAGATGCGCGTGAGTTTTAAGCTATCTCTAAATTCTTCTATATATACACACATATATACAGATGCGCGTGAGTTTTAAGCTATCTCTAAATTCTAAATTAGGAAGACTTAATCCAATATTAATTAATTTTAATGCTATAGCCCTGCATGCCACTAGTAACGTGTCCCCTTCTCCCGCTTGGCCTAATACCCATAACACAACACCCTTTCTTTTGAGCAGCTCATCCTTCAGCTGCAACATGACCTTATATTGTAGGCCCGAACGACACGCCATAAAGATCCTAACATAGGTAGACTTGAAGCATTTTTACATCTCGACTTCTTACATTGTTATGAAAGAAAAATAAACCTAAGATTAGTGTAGATTGTTGTGCCATCCTATTGTCATCAACCAGGGGTGGGCCCTGTCCAGAACCACTTAGAAAAAGGACAGTTCCATGCCCTAATAGTACCCTAGAAGCCTGTTTGGACTACTTGATAGAATAGCCCGAAGTTAGACCAGAGCTAGTAAAGAACCTCTGCAACCTTAATATTAGCCCAATGCAGCCTACCCAAGAGCACAACCTCCCCCATCTCTCTGCCTTGCACCATTCCTGCCCCTCCCAGGAACCACCACCTCCTGTGCTTCTTTGCACCACACCGGACAAAGACAACACCACCTTTCACGAATCAGATCGCAACGCCTTCGTTTCCTTCCCACGATGCCACTGCTGTCGCTGCCTCCGCCTACGATGAGGGCAACAGTGTCTAAACTGTTGCCAGAACCAGACATGCATGCACTCTAAACTGTTCCCAGAACCAGACATGCATGCGCTCGTCCCTTGGAAGTGGCCATAACCAAAAAGCATGGCAGTGGAAGACTTGGGATCATGTTAGCACAATTTGATTTAACCGATAAAATAAACATCAAATATACATTATGCTATACCAACACCTTGAGTGAGAAAACTTATTTCTTCGCATGTCTACATTTGGTAGCGCTACTCATGTATACTCTATACCATTTGTCACTAAATCTGCCATTGAGCATACGCCACAAAATGTGATATGTGATGTAATTCCATGTGCAAACATAGCCCCAACACTACAAAGTTGTCACAGAGCCCAATGGTAAGCATGATGCCAACACAAAAAGGATCAGATTCTGAAGCTCAGGAAGGTCTTTTTTATCAGTTATCAGTTTATCATATCCTACTTTTAAATTTAAATATAAGTAACTGCATTTTTTTGAGCTAATCTATATTGCAACGTGTCACATTTGCTCAGCTATGGTTTGGCATGGCACTGTTGCAAACAACCAAGTTTACATTGGTATGTATGCAACTTCAAAATATTTGAGGTCGAAATGCTCAAATTACTCATTGGTTATATGGGACTTTCACATTTATAGTTAGGGGCTTAATCTACTGTTCGCAAGGCAAATCAAGGTGGCCCACCCCCTTTCAGATGCCTAGGACCCTAGGTGTTTAAGGTGTGAGTCAAGATGACACCTTACACACATCCTAGCCTATACAATGTCACCAAATTTTGTAGTACATATCTACCTTGTTGCAGCCAATTCTTAAGCCTATGCACCTCCTTTCTTCCCTTCCCAAAGTAGTAGAGCAGAGCAAAAAGCACGGCAGAGCAGAGGGAAGGAAGAGGTAACGGTCCTGGGCAACTTTTAATAGATGGGGAGGGGTTGCAGCCTGTAAGAATGAAGGAGGTGCTCATCTGATAGAGAAGAAGCAAGCAGTGAGAGGGAGACAGCCACCATTGCTAGGATTTTAGCTACAAATGGTTGTGAGCAGAACTCCAATAGGAAGCAGTTGAACAAGCCGAGGATCGGTGGGTTGGCCACCAATAGAAAACCAGGGTAAAGTGACAACCCATTCTAATGCACACACTTTGGTGTCCTAGTTTATCATGAAAATAATCAATATGTAAAACTCAGTAGTCTAAAGTATCACGAGAAGAAAAGAATCAAGTAGAGTAACTGAATAAGATAGAAAGTTTTCACTTATATCCTATAACAGATTATGTAAAACTCAGTGGTCTAAAAAGGGAGTAAAACATTGTTTGGTTTCAGGAGAAAAAAAAACTAAAATCGAATCCACTGCCAACAGTTGGTCAGAACCTTATATAAGGTACATTATTTTTTCCAAATATGATCCTACTCATGCTAACATATCTTTGGTTAGTTGACAGCAAGTCTTCCCTTTTTGGTGAAAGGATCCATCTGCTAACTAGTGAATAAAGTTGTGGTGGATATGCGCTAGAAGAACATAGCCCACCACAATATTTTCAGATCAATGATAGCTAATTGCAAGAGCTACATCAAACAACAAGATTTCTCAAGTATAAGCAATCATATCTTTCAATAGTGTGCAACTGAAAGTGAGCCACAACATTATACTGTTTCATTGTATACGTCATGAAATTTGTATCAAGTTGCATGAAGTTTTTTAAAAAATCAGACACCATATCCTGGTAATATGTAATAATAGACAAATCAAAAACATGATGTAATTTCCAGCCTCAAAAAACAAACAAGCGTCACTACATACAATAGGAATTTCACAACCTGCTTTAGAAGCAAACCGAACAAATCAAGGGTAAAGTAACAACTACAATACAAAGAAGGTACCAATTAGATGCACAGATAACTCCCACTGGAGAAGGTGTGGCCAGCCTCATTAAACTGAGCCGTGCCATCAGTGGCTGGGCATAGTTTGATGCCAGACAATGTAAATGGCCCTTGGTAAGCAAACTTCACCATCCCAACAACCTCTAGCTCACCATCCTTTGAGTCCTGATCTACAGGCATCCGAGCCCTCAAACGTCCAGCAGGTCCTTTCAGGGGAATGTCTGGGATGTGCCACCTGAGCTCCCTCTCTGCCCGATTCAGCACAGCCTTGGGTGAAACATTTAGCAGAGTTGGGTCCACAGGAAGCTTAACAATGAACGTAACATTGCTCAGCGGCTGTGGCAACATTGGGTTTGATGCGTATTGAATCATCACTGAGAGCAATGTTCCGCTATGTCGCTTCACAAGGCGCATCCTCAAAGGGAGAGGTGAGTGCTTGGGCAGAAAGCTGTACTTCATGATGGGGATGGGTTCCTCCTTCGATGGCGTCCGGACATGGAACATCCCATTCTCGAGGTTGCTCAACACAGTGCTCTGCAACGCGGCCTTCTTCATTCCAGATGTGCCCTCAAGACGAAATGAGAACTCTGTCTCCTTACCAGCCGCCTTCTTTGGTGGCAACGTTCGCAGAAAGATTGTACCCTTCAAACCAACCCGTGCAAGAATAGACTCCTTAAATTCTGCATTGACCTCCTCCACGATGTATAGCTCAGGGGCTGTCATCTCTGTGCTCTTTGTCACCAACAAGTTCTCCAGCGGGGTACCACCAGGTGCATTTGGTCCCTGTCCAGCACTAGTGGCTAGCAGCTCAAGACCAGTGATGCTCTTATCCTTATGGTCCTTCTTTGTTGTGGTAACAAACTCTGAAGCATCCAATCCACCCCCAAACGGCGCATTGAACCCTTCAAATGCCTCGGCCAGTGAAGCCTCCTCATTGCCAAACTCAATTCCACCATAGTCACCCTCAAACCCTTCAACTCCAATAAATGTTGGCTTAGTCGCCTCAGCTGGTGGCAAGGTCGTGACCTCCAACCCAGCAAGCGCAGCCGCGGGATCAGCAACCACAATGGCGGTCTCCTTGTTCTTCTTGAACCCACCAACCAACGCCTCCTCAGAATTGTTAACCAGTTCACTGGCTGCAAACGGGTCCTTCTCCACGGGAGCTGCCTCCTCCGGTGGAGGCTCATCCCCAGTAGCCGCAGCAGCCGCCGGCGCAATGTTAGACGCGGAGAACTCGTCACCGGCAGCAAGGGTCTCCTGGGGGAGCTCGAACGAGGCGCCCGTGAAGCCATCGCGAGCGGCATGGCGATCGTGGGCGAGGTGCTCGACGGCGGGCCAGGGATCAGCGCCACGAGCTTTCGCCTCGGCGTCAGGGGATGAATTCACCATGCGAGCGAGGTTGTCGCCATGGATGGTGGCGAGGATCTGGGAGAGGCGGACGGAGCCGACGCCGTGGAGGACGAGGTCGAGGGCGAGGTAGACCTCCGGGTACTTGCGGTGCACCTTCTCCGGCGTGACGTCGACGCCGCGGCACGCGGCGACGACGACGGAGACGGCCTGGTTGACGGCGTCGGCGACGGCGAAGGCGTGGACGGCGGGGGAGGCGTGGTCGGAGGAGGTGGTGACGCCGAGCACGTAGATGGAGTTGACTAGGCGGTACACGACGCGGTACTGCGACTCCACCCCGACCACGAGCTGCCCCGACCCGGCGGCGAGCGGGTCGTCGCCGATGGCCTCGAGCGTCGCCGCCGCCGCGGCGGCCGACGACGACGATGACAACTGCTGCTGCTTCCCGCGGGCGAGGTGGAGGCGGGCGAGGCGGAAGGAGGAGACGGCGGCGAGGGCGCGGGAGACGGGGAACCAGGATCGGGTCTGGAGGAGGATGTCCGGGCCGTTCACCGGCTGGAGGGAGATCGCGAGGCACGCCATCGCCGCCGCCGCCGCCGCCGGCGAGAGGCTAGGGTTAGGGCTCGGATCTGATCGGGAGTGAGGTGAGGTGGTTGGGTGAGATCTGGGGCGCGAGGGGGAGTAGAGGAAGGAGACGGGTGCACGAGCCGACCCGTGGACCGGGTCCAGCCACTGTGGAGAGGATGGCTCTGTGGACCAGCTCATGAGCCGATCTATCGACTCGGCTCGGCTCGTCGTGCCCGATTGGGCTTATTTTTCACGGCCCAAACACCCAAAAAGTGGGGGAAAACACGGCCTGGCCCAAAAAAGCATGAGATTGGGAAAAAAACACGGCCTAACCCTTTAAGTTCAATGCGATTAGTATAGCCTGCTCTAAATCATCTATAGCTAATCTAATAGCCCATTCATACAATAGTTAACTATAAAAATATACCACACCATTAATACCCAGTCCCACATCTCATACACACATAATGTCTTGAAGTCCATGTTGCAGCTAGCTATAAATCTATAGCCCGTTGTCTTCTCTCTTCTCTTTTCTTCTAGATACTTGATATTGTACCTGCTCTTAGCATTACTCGAGGTACAAGCATGCATACCATAGCTTTTAGATCGAGATCTACGACTGTAAGTTAAATTACAATTATTTAGAATTTTATATTTTCTTTGTAATAAAAAACAAATTGATTCATCCAACTGTTATCAATCATATCCAGATCTGGATCAAAGGATTTCTGGAGCTACAAATAAATACCCAGATCTAAGAAATATCGGTGCTAACATCTCATCCTCTCATCCTTACGATAGCATTTGCTAACCGCACAGCCACCAAGCAAGCTCAGCTAACAGAAAATATTAAGTCCCACATATTATTAACCTATCCTTTTCCATTTTTAATCATATTTCCTCCGTTCTAAAAAACTCAAATCATGGCTATGAATCTGGACAAGCACCGGTCTAGATTCATAACTAACATTTTATTCTTTTTTTATAGAGGGTGTATCTCTCTTGCCTATCTATTTTTTTCTCCGTCGCCTGCCCAACTCTTGCTAGTGTTGGTTGCTAGTACTACTTCTTAAATAATTTCTAGTCTATTATGGCCATAAGTAACAACATAGTTGCATAACAATAACAACTAGAATCAACACAACAAATAGAGTTTGAAGTTAAAAAATCATTAAAATCGTAAATGTCATATTAATAGTGGTAGAAGTGGAATCACTCACTTGCCTAGGAGATCTCCGACGATATCTGAGGTAGCTTTTGAATTCGACGTGCAAACGATTTTAGCACGTATATCGTGAACGAAGAGAACGAAGATATCGTGCGCAATCACAAGTTGCTAAAAAGTCTCAATTTTTCACCCCTCTTTGTACGGGACTCAAATGAACGGCGTTGGACGGAAATGTTGCTTGCACTATGTGTTGTGCACGCGGAGCGAGAGACGGAATAAGCGAGAAGCGTGGACTTAGGAAGTCGGATTATATAGCTCAGGGGAGGAGGAAGACTAATACATTTAGGGAACATTTTAATTACAATTAATATAATATCAGAACTATTATCCGCAATTATGTCTAGAGATTTGATTCTGAATTATCATATATGCACAATTAAATCAAAGAAATTGAAAAAAAAAACTAAAAACGCCTAAAACAACCTAATACGGCCTAAAAAGCACAACGTGAGGCCAGGCTCAGTCGGGATAAAATTAGATCAGGTTCGGTCAAATTTTTCTTTTCCATATCCTAACCCATATTTTATATTGGGAATCAGAGTCGGACATCAACATTGTCAAATTGTCAAATATGGATTTGAACACGGATAATCTCTATCGCAAATACTTATGTCAAAGCAACAGCCAACAGCCGTATACACCACGTAAGCAATAGCCATTCAACCATGCAAGTATGCAACGTATCCATAATGCAACTGGATTAGGGCATAGCAACACCTAATATGCCTAATACTAGTAGCAGTTAAGCGCACATCATTGTGCATTGTTCGTTGCATTATTACACCAGTATAGTTGTTTTGCACAGGGTTGGCAATGGGACAGTTGAGTTGGTAAGCTTCATCCAACCCTTGCCTGGATCAAGTGAGAAACGCCCAGGGTGATCATCGAAGCATCACCACTTTTAATTATTTAATATTAGGTTATTCTCTAATATTTGTGTCTTATCTGGGTCAAGTCCCCGATCCTTAATCGAGGTGAAGAAGAGGCATCATGGCCATCTGTTTTATGCTGTATTATATACTCATATGTCTATTAGGCCTTTTGGGCTACATAATTAGCTATAAGATGCTACCTTCTGTTTTTAATATGTAACGCAATTTATATTTTACATTATAATTAACTATAATATACAACCTCCGGTTTATAATATATAATGTCGTTGATATTTTTATATTATGTTTGTCTATTCGTTTCATTAAAGAATTTAAGTAAATTTCTTTTCTTTTGTTATGGTTTTATTTATCACTTAAGGAACTTTAAGCATTATTTATATTTTTTAGATTTGCACAATTTTTTTTAGTAAAACGAATAATGAAAGGTGATACCAAAAGTCAATTGTATCATATATTAAAAAACGGTAAGAATATTTCACAACTTCTACTATCTGGTCCCTGCATGCGAAAATTCATCCCTAAGCTTGCGCGCACATATTTTTAGGGACCACCCCATTAAGGCTGGGTTCGTTTCTAGGGTTCCCAACTCCCCCGGTTTTCTGCGCGCACGTTTTTCAAATGGCTAAACGGTGCGTTTTTTTAAAAAAGTTTCTATACGAAAGTTGTTTAAAAAATCATATTGATCCATTTTTAAAAAAAAGTTTAGCTAATACTTAATTAATCACGTGCTAATGAACCGCTCCATTTTATGTGCGTGAGGGATTAGTTCCCATCCTCCTGAAATGAACACAACCTAAACCCATGGGATAAAATTCTCACCGACCCCACCCAAACGGGAATATTGCCGTTTAGATAATAGATAGAAATCCAGCATATATCCATAAGTGAATATACACAGAAGTTACATGAGTTCTTAAACTCCAAGCCTCAAAACTAAGGAAAAAAGATAAGAAAAAAAAAAGCTAGACAACTAAGAAAGAAAACTAGAAGACAAAGTTTCAATCTTCTTCTAAGTCTTTGCTTCAAATTCCATCACTGAACAAACCTTCCCAAGCGGAGTTCCCCGCCTCAAAGTGAGAGGGAAGGAGATGCCAGTGGCGGATCCAGGATTTGAGCAAAGGGTATTCAAAGTTGAAAAAAAATCATACAGAACTCAAAAAATTGGACTGGGAAAATCATACAGGAGTGGTAATGACATGTTTAAAGCCTTAAAGGTACAAACAGTAGCACAATAGTCAAGATGTCTATCTCCAACTGCACACTTGGGGACATATCACTATCATGGGCATTGGGTGCTTCAAGTTGTAGCTGAATAGGACTAGAAGGGGCATTTTCTGGGATCTGAACTTCACTCTCAATGGTTAATGGTTTTGGATCAGAGGTGGAAGCTACTTTCTGAGACTTGGTTGACCTTTCCCACAAAGACTTCAAATCTATTGTCTTCTTCTTCATTTTTCAAATTTCAAGACCTACAGTTTAAATTTCTGACTAATTTAACTTCTAAGCAATAGCAATTAAGCAATGGCCAATCGATTGGGGAATTTGACAAGAGGATTTATTTTACCAGTGCCAGTCCACTGTCCAGCCGTCTAGGGACCAAGGGGACGCGCCGACGCGGGGGTGCGTCGCCGCAACCGGCTACCGCCGTGCGTCGCAGTGCCGCCGCCGTCCGTGCGAACCTCAGCTGCTCAGCGTCACCCGTCCCCGAGGAGGCGGCGGCGGCGTCGCAGGCCGCGCCGCCTCCGCAGCAGCAGGCCCAGGGACCAGGGTTCAGGGAGATGAGGCTGGTGGCGATTCTGGCGACACGCCGAGCCGGCGGCCGGCGCCGCCGAGCGTCGAGCTCTCGATGCCCCGTCGCCCGTTGGTGGGGATGAGTGGAGGCGCGGCGGATTGGGGCTGGGACGACAGAAGGGGTGGGGACTGGCTGACCGGGGGATAGGGACTAGGGTTTTGTTCGTTTTTAGGCCAGTGGGCCTATTCGTTGGGCCAAGATGGGGAGGAATGTATGGTCTGCTGCGAATAAATGGGCTTCTTTTCATTTGGGCTATACATGCTGCACTTCCTTCTAATTTCTCATGTATATATGCATAACATACCTATATATAGTTATTTTTTTTTTTAAATTCTATGGGTATTCAGGTGAATACCCATGAATCACATGGGATCCGCCCTTGGGAGATGCAGATCTAGTCCACCTTGCCACCGCAATCCCATCCGTCAACTCTGCTTCCTTCCATCATCAGGACTGATTGCGAGAGCGAAGATGGGAGGAACTAGCCTACCCTATCGTACACCCGCCGTTGCGGAACTCTTCCACCTTAATGGCCGCATGGAGAGGAGATTGCGTTTGAGGAAAAAGGATGAGAGGGAGGGAGGGGGAAGGTGGTGGATCCTCCCCCTCACTCCCTGATCACGAAGGACATAGCCGGCACCGGCGCCCTCGCAGACGAGAACATTGCTACCCCTAACTACGTGGGCTATGAGGCCATGACTGCTATTGGGCAAGGCCTAGAGCTTGCAAACTGGACAGTTTATCATGGAATATCTATTTTATTTACCGTAATTAGTATCCATTGAACATTATCTTCCCGAACGCGATATCATACACGCACAAAAGGCTTTTTTTTTAATTATTTTTAGAGTAAATTGCATTTAGGATCACCTTTTATTATCAAAGTTTTAATTTGGATCACCCTTTAACCCATCTTTCCACTTTGGATTAGATTACTTTGAACCACACAAAAAAAACTTTTCTTGAGCACATCAATGACTTTAAGCATATCGACACCTGTAAACAAGTAATCTTTCTGAACTTGCGTGTAGACTATTCTTTGCAAGACTAGTAGATACAGCTAGAGAAGTGACTTAGGGTGATTCAAAGTGTTACAAAGGTGATCTTACCAGTCCAAAGTAAAAATATTAGCTATAGGGTGACTCAAGTTGAAATTTTTTGTACTACATCCTCATTAATAGATAGGATACCCGAGCTAGATGTACTATCCGATACATTGTCATCTCTGATCTACAAGTGTGTTCTTTTTCTGCCTCAACTAGGTAGGACTGACACGAGTGGTGAGTGTTAGAAGTGAGCAGAGAAGCCATACACAAGCTGGGACTGCTATCTATACAGAAATGTTCTTATACAGATGAACTCTTCGTTTCCAGATTAATTATACTACTGCTAATGGTAAGACAAGCAAGGGCGATATACTATCTACAAATCCTCAAGTACGGTTTAAGAATTAGGGGGGAACAAGGTGTTACAGAATCACCTGTGGACAAAGAATCTCGCATGCTTCTGAATGTTTTTTTCTGATGAAATGCCTTCAGATCAGCCAAACAGTTCATTTCACCGAAACTGTTCACTTCCACAAATTGTATAAATCATTCACAATAGTCGTTCAAATCCATTTCCCAACAGCTCTACATTTTTTTTTTACAATTGCCTTGGTGAGGGTACAGCAGCAAGGAGAAATTGGCAGGAATCAATGAATCATCCATCACAACAGACTCCAAATAGCCATTAACTATGGATCCATCTCAGGATGATTTTCTGCTGGTGACAACACGTTTTCTGATCTTGGAAATTTTGCATTGCACAAATGAAGTCGTTCCCGTTTTGTTTCTTTTTCCTCTCCACAAATGAAGTCGTTCCCGTTTTGTTTCTTTTTCCCCTCCTATGTACAGCTCCATCTGTAATTACCCGCTCGTTTGTTTCATCTGAGCATGTGAATAACACCAACCACGGTTTGCAAGTACAATAACGGATACTTTTTCCTTCACCAGCAGCCACCAATATGAGCATTGTCAAGCTGAGTACACGAGAAATGGCACTGCATATGACATAATTAAATTATTAGAATGGATAGAACAGTACAATGATTTATATCATATAGAAACATGAAATCATCCTAAAGTATATGTATCTGAAGCAGTATATGGTATATTTATGATGATAAAACAGATATATGACGGTTCGATAGGCATGCAAAACCTGCACAAATGGAGACATCGGTGCAGGATAGGACAAAACACAAAAGATGTTCCAAAATCATAACGTATCAATTACTCTTTCCTATTCTGAATGTGGATACAATCTAGGAGTGAAAAATGCATTTGTAAAGGTAGAAGGAAGGCAAGTTTGACACTAACCAATCAGAAAGATGCTCAACACCAGTAAAAGGGTTATTCGAATGGAACGACCAAACTGAGTGTTGTATTGCGGCCCTTGTATATGAAGTCCACCCATCCTTCCAGATACTCTAGAGTTTTCCTTCCAACCGCTGAAACAACTCCTGCTTCTTTCAGTAAGCCCGTTAAACCTCTGTAAGAAAATGACAAAGGGCACATATGTTGAAAATTAGCTAAAAGTCTAAAGTCATATGACTTGTTTATTTAAATCAAATTAGACAGCATAATGAAACTTTATCCTCCGTCCATTTGCATTTACTTGGCACTTTTTACTGCTACACGTGTATTTTGTGACAAGAGAACGGCGAAAATGCACCTGTGTTGACCTCCGGGAGAAAAAGATGCAGTTGCTACTGTTATGTCTTCTTGTTGGTACCTATGCTAGTTGGGTGCACACACTAACAATAACCCCTTGTCGCTAATAACCAGTGGATTAGAAATAGTTTAAATTTTTAAAAGAGGCAACATTTGGCGCGCACGCCGGACTTTATATCCTTCTCTAGGCAGCTAGAAGGGTAAAATGGTAATGTTTGCATTGGGGATAGCATTGTGTCAAGTATTTGTGGAGGACATTTCAGTCAAAGGTACCAAGTAAATGCAAAACAGGGGGGGGGGGGGGGTTTATTTCTTTAATTCTTTCATCTACAATAACTCCTCTCAGCAGGGTTAGTAGTTATACCTGTGCTAATAAGGTTATAACCCTCCAGTCTAAGTGATTTGGCATATCATATCTTAACGGAAGATGTTCATCACTCTTGGCTTTCCACAAGCTATTCCTCAACCATCTTACTCTTGTGAAAGATTCGGTGGTTTTCATGATACCAGAAAATGCAGTTGCCTGACTTGATGCCTCGACCTTGTTAGGGGACAATTTTCTATCATCGTCTTTATCATCAGAAATATCGATCTTCCAGTGTTCACCACCAGAACTCGGGCTTGTACTGTGACCATTTAACTGCTCGGCTAGACAACAAGCTTCACTCTGACCATTTGAAATTTCTCTGCATAATGCTTCAGTTTTATGTCGGTCTTTACTGATTGCAGCCATGTCCCTGGGATCATTCGCGCCAATCAACGCATTCTTTTGTTTTGATGGACTATGGTAAGTGTTGTCTCTTTTCTTTGTATCTTGAGATAACTGTGCAGGTGCTGAAAGGAAAGCCACAAGATCATCTCGTTCCTCATCATCTAACTTTACCCAGTTGAGCCCTCGCCTATCATTGTCAATCGAGTAATCATTTATTTGTTTCTCTACTTGAGAAATCTGGTCCTCCATTGCTACAACGAACTGCCGACGCCTGGCCAATGTACCCTCTTCCAAAGAATACTTATCATTGCTCATGCTTATAGCTCTCTCAAACTGCTCCAACTGCAAGGCGGACACTACCAACCATTAGCAAGACAATGGATAAACTAGTCTACCACATGAATGAATATAGAATGAATGTAGGAGTAAGTCAACAACTAAATGTTAGGACAAAACACACCTGCCACTTTGCAGTTCCTAATGCTGTCTTCAGCTCCCTTTGCAAATCGCTCAGCTCCTCTAAATTAGCTCCGCTATCGCGTTCCCGCATCCAAGTTCTATAAATAGATTCCATCCTGAAAGAAGAATTCACCAAAGTTAAGAACTTGGCATGGCAAACTAGGAAAAACCTCCACATCCTTAACAGCTAATAAATAATCATTCTCCATATGGTAATATATCAAGCACAAATTGTCTAGTTGAACAATATATAACAATTTGACTGGGGAACACACCCGCCACCAAACCATATAAATATAGAAGAGATAAATCAAAACCAGAATGGATAAATCACCAAAAATTCATAGCATCTCATAAGTAGAGAAATAAAATCCCCATTAAATAACTCTAATATATTGATATCGCACACTGACGTCAACAAAGAAGACAGAGTACTGCACAATGTTAACAGTAGTTCACCAACCAAACCAGGAAAGACTCCATCCAAGAAAATTTACCAACAAACATTCATCAAAACCTCATCTTATTTGCAGCCACAACCACCCATAATCCCCTAACAAACACATATAACACCAAAACACACGAGCAAGAAGAAACGCATCACCGAATACACCAGCAGTCACGCGCTGAAATCAATCAAATCTTCCCAAAGTAAATAACACACACACACACACACACACACAAAAATCAATCAAATCTCTCTACGACGAACGAACATGAAAATCCAATCTCGGTTCAACCCCAGATGAACACACATGACAGGACAAGAAAAGGAAGGAAGGAAGAGAAGAAGCACTGACAAGTCCGCCGACTCCTGCACCTCCTCGGCGGCCTGGAAGAACCCGTCCTTCTGCCACTGCTCCAGCCCTCCCGCCGCCGCCATGGCGCCCAACCACAACCTCAACAACAACCACAGATCAAATCAAGAACCTCACAGCCGCCTGCCGCCCCAACCCCGCCGCTGAATGGGCTTCCAGGCTCAATCTCGCACGCGGGGGAAACCGGAGGAGGAGGAGGAGGAGGAGGAGGAGGAGGGATCTCGCCCGACGAACGCGCGACGGATCGAGGAGGAGGCTGTGCAAGGCAAGAAAGAAAGAAAAAGGGGCGGCGTTTTCTTGGGGTTTCGGCTGCCGCCGCCGCCTCCTCCTCCTCCTCCGCTGCCGTCGCCTCGCCCCCCGTTGCTTCGCGGAGGGGAAGAGAGGAGACGTGAGAGTGGGAAGAGAGGGAGAGGAGAGGAGGGAAGTGAACTACTCTCTCTCTCGCCTTCTTCTCCTTCTTCCTTCCGTCTCGGTGTCGTTGGTGATGGTGGTGGTGGTGTTGTTTCTCTCTCTCTCGGACTCGGGTGCCTTCTTCGGGATCCCTGTTTCCCTACAAGCCGCTGTTTTTTTTTCCCTTTCTTTCTTATTTTTTTTCTTCTGACGTATAGGATGCGTGTTGTTTTTACATATTTTTTAGGAGATTTTTTTTTTACAGGATTGATGACTGATGCACAGGCACAGCACACAGTTCACAGTTCTGTGAAAAATAATAGTACAGCGCACAACTTAAAAGAAAACGTTAGGATTGTGCAATTGGCGAGGAAAAAAAAAAGTGATTCTACTTGTGTGCCTCTTGCCTTGCTAGAGGGGGAAAAAACTCATAATGCTATGTATATTCATTGAAGATTATATATGATAAAGATGGGTTTGGTGAGTTAGATTGAAAATTTTACCCAATTTCCCACAAAATTTAAAGGGTACAACTCATATTTAAGGGCATCGTTAATCGCATGAATGGAACGCAGGATTTTGATAGTGCAAATGTAAAAACAAAGAATTACAAAACATAGAAAAAATATATGAATATGGCCGTTTAATTGTACTACGAGAAAACTATAAGAAATGGGGATGAGTGAGATAAACTCAAAGGAATTTTTCCAAGAGGTTGGATTTCTTGCTAATTTTGCTAAAACATCTCCATAGGATTGCTCATTTCATAGAAATTTTAAAGGAGAGGATATAATAAGATTCAATCCTTTATTTCAAAGGGTTTTCATAGGAATTTATTCCATACAATCGAAGTATTGCTACATTCCTATAATTTTCATGCTTTCATGCAAATCAAAGGGGCCTTGGCCTTTAAACTTTTTTGTAGTCCAATTTCAACCCGAATTTAGATACTATTGATTACTTATCACACTACTAAGTTCTAAAACCCGATGAATTAGTGCTTCAAACCCTATTTTATAGTAAATTTTTAGTTTGGCACTTCAAACTCTACTTTCTAGTAGTAAATTTTATGACTTGATAGTGGTTTTCGCCTACATAAAACTCTATTTAAATAAGTTCCATTGCATAGACCTAAGTCACATAACTAAGTGGGATCTATGTTATCAAAACATGCATAATTTAATATGTATAGCCTCATAAATTACCATACACACAATACAAAACATTAAAAAATTAGACATCGCCGAAAATTAAAAGGATAAAATAGACTAAGTACAAATGCAACATTTTGCAAACAAAATGGAAACGTCCATCTTCTGCATCTCTCGTAAATTGTGTACAAGCACTGTTGCAATTAATTAAAATTGGACATGCCTCTGCTGTCGGCGGTGTTGCCCAAACAACAATCAAATGTTCAATTTTGTTGGCGGTGTAACTTTTAGTTTAAGGCTTTGTTACATTTGATCAAACTATAAAAAACCATGTTACTAGTATAATTTAAAAACAATAATAATTTTCATTATTTTCAGCAAAGAGCTATTGTTTTTCTTAAGAGAAAAATAAACCACTGTTGTTTGTTAAACATATGAGGATATGTTAGGTGCTGTTTATATTTGACTATGAAAACCATTTCCATGAAACCTTTTCCTTTGTACAGAAAGTTCAACTAGTTAGAAATGTGAAACTTTTTGTAACTTGTTAGATTCCTGGTGATGGAACATGCTCATTGGATTTAAGTTTTAGATTTACCACATGCGTATGCATTTGCAGCTAATTATTATTTAAATGGTAGAAGGTGTATTCATTGATAGTAAGATGAATGTGTATGAAAAAAAAAGTTGAGACATCACAACGTTGTAAAGCGGCAACGTTGGTGGATCGGTATAAAATTAAGTAATTATACTTCTCTAGGATCTCGTATATGTAAGCAAAATAAATGCTACTACAACCATATCAAGCCAATAGAATAACGAAAGTTGAATATATAAAGTGTCGGCCGTTGGCAGCGAGAAAATTGACATTGTGCCATCCTCAAAAGTGGGTTTCGCCCAAATGCCATGCTGGGAGTGGGCTTCATTAAAATGCCACTTTCAACACATGGTTACATGCTAAAATACTATCTTGGACCAAATTACCCTCCTCTCATCTTCTTCCTCCCTCCATCATCAGCTCTCGCCGGCGGCCACCATCCGCCTTCGTGCGAGCTCTCCTCCATGGAGAACCACAGGCCACAGGCCCCTGCGGGGACCCCTCCCATGGCTCCCCTCCCCGTGTCCCCTCCCATCGCCCCCATCCCAGCCCCGCCCTCCGCGAGCCCCCGCACCCGTCCCAGCCGCCGCCGTCGTCGCCTCCACCTCTGATGACCACCGCGCCGTGCCTTCGCCATGGCCATGCCCACCAACGACTCCGCCGTGCGGGCGCGCCTCCGCCGCTTGGAAGAACGGGAGTGGCTGGGACGACGGGTTGGCACGAAAGATGGAGACCGCCAACGTCGGCGTCGGCGGCGCGGATGGCGTGGAGCGTGACCACGGGGTCGTCGGTTGGGGACGGTCGAGGCGGGGAGGAAGGGGAGCGGAGGTGGAGGCGGATGAGGTGGGCGCGGCAGAGGTGAGCCGGCGAGGCATCCCTTGTCAGAGGTGGAAGAAGGTAGTAACAGGGGTATTTTTGTCCGTTAGGGCATTATAGCGTGTAGTCTTCGATTGAAAGTGGCATTTTAACGAAGCCCACTCCCAGCGTGGCATTTGAGCGAAACCCACTTTTGAGGATGGCACAATGTCAATTTTCTCGTTGGCAGCAGGTGCGGCGCCAGCGCAACAGAGGCAAAAATAGCAAGCCAACAAACTAGAGGCTGCTTTTGATGGCGACTGTAGAGACACTGACTGGTGGGGCCATTAAACGGACGCACACGGATGGTCTGGACGCTGACGCGCCAGCCACCCCTTTTGTTACACTGAGATGTGGGCCCCAGATGTCCTCTTATATTGTCCTTTTTTCAGTTTTTTTAATTTCTGCCATTAGTATTCTTGTCTGTAAAGAATGTTCTCTTCCACATTTTTCACATTTCTTGCTATTACTATATTACTGACCTAGCATTTGCTTTGACCACTGAAATTCAAGCAAGGGTCATTTTCTTTTGAGTAGTCTTTTTTTTATTGAACCGAGGAATGATTTTAAAGAGATACTCCTATTTAACTATTTGCCGCTCCTAAATATGACAATGAACTATTTGCTACTATTTACTAGACCTACATTTTATAGACACATGAGACGCGCAAATAGCTAAACATCAAATTAAAAGTGGCAAATAGTTAAATGCCCCAATTTTGAAAGGTATTCTTTTTTTAAAAAAAAAATATTTGACACTAATTGTGCACTCTTTAGCAATTCAAAAGCCAAGGCTGAGTAATGAATCCAATAAAAAAATACAAATTAATTATAAAATCAGTTCTAATGATCAATATTGGCAGCAGCGTATAAGTCAAAGCTCAAAACGGCAGATTGCACACCAGTTTGGTTGTGAGCCGGCAATCATGCATATACTTAAAATTAAAGATGGTAAAAAATACCTGGGCTTGAAGTTTGAAGGTCATCTGATACGTTTTATGATTAAAGAACATTAAATACCCTGTTTCGAAGTGGATAATGTAAAGTTCAGCATAAAAAGCCTTCAAATCTGGCAATGTTCATACATTAAATCACTACAATGCTGCTTGTAGTACTCCACTGTATATCATATTCATTATTTAAATAGGCAAATCATTAATTGCATAGGATTCACACCTAGACAACGCATAAACTACAGCTGTTAGGAAAAAAAAACTGAGGTTTTTAATCAGTACTATACATTTACTTATCCTGTTCCAAGGCTGGCAATCTGGCATGATTTGATCATTAGGATGTACTACATACTACTCATGAGCAGATATGATTTTAAGATCCAATAATTTTTAATAAGATTTTGCTTTGAAGGCACCAACCATAAAAACAAACTTGTTGCTTCGGTGACCTGTCTTGGTGATGAGGTACTTATTGTTGCTGTTGCATCTAATAATCATTTGCTTGTCTATCGCAACAACATACTTAAAAGTACTTCAATTTATCAATTTGATTCTTCTTGTACCACGTCATTACAAATTCGGAGTAATTTTTGAAATGCCAAAGACTGATTACTTGCAGTCAATTTTCCTAAAATGAGATGTTATGTTTGTTAATACCGGCACGAACAAAAACACACATGGTAGTATGAAGGAAGACAGCAAAGACCATACTGCCAGGCCACAGTTCAACATAATTTGTTCATGGTGTGTTTAGTTCACGTTAAAATTAGAAGTTTGATTGAAATTGAAACGATGTGATAGAAAAGTTAGAAGTTAATGTGTGTAGGAAAGTTTTGATGTAATGAAAAAATTGAAAGTTTGAAGAAAAAGTTGGGAACTAAACCAAGCCTAAAGATTTGATGATACTTCTGAGAAGGACATGATATGGAAGTTATTGTAGCGTACACAAAACTGGGATCGCCGAAAGTGGGCATCTGAATCATGTCCCACTTAATTATTATACAACAGCAAAAATGAAGCAACATTGCCATTAAAAATATCCCCACTAGGAACAGTAACTTCAGATCCAGACAAGTGTTCTGTATAAGGTTTGATCTAAGAACTTACATATTAAAGAAAGAAAAAAAACCACTCCCTCCATTTTATATTATGTCACTTTGGGCCTGTCCTAAATCAAACATTCGATCAAATTTATAGAAAAACATAGTAACATGTACTCACTCAGTCCCAAAAAAAAGACAACCTAAGAAGGGTCACCTCTCCTCCTAGTTAAAAGGTTCTCTAGATTCATTGTACTAGGAGGGTCATATTTTGCCTTTTTTTTTTTTTTGAGACGGAGGGAGTACACCATTAAATTAGTTTCGATAAATCCATCATTCAATATATTTTGATAGTATATTTATTTTGTGTTCAAAATGTTGCTATATTTTTCTATAAACTTGATCAAACTTGATGAAATTTAAATTAGCGCAAACCCAAAGTGACTTATAATATGAAATAGAGGAAGTAACAGGCACAGTTCATAACTCAAGGAAAAAAAAGAAAAATAAAAAACTAGCAGGTTCAGTACACAACTCAAGGAAAAGAAAAGGGAAAAAAACTAGCAGGTTCAGCACACAACTCAAGGAGCATCCTTTTATGCAGTGTTCAGTTATTCTAGCATATGGACCACATGGGAGAAAACTAATTTAGCAGAAATTCCATGTGCAGTTCCATGATCAGCAATATGATCTTATAAATAATAAGCTGAAATGTCGGCGTTATGGGTCGAAGAGACATTACTCCATCCCCAATAAATTAGTTCAGAAGTAGCTTTCTTCCACCAAAAGCAGCAGGTTTGCAGTAACAACCAGGGGCAACTTACTTAAATCTCAAGCCACAGAGGGCACAGATCGATGACTGGATTTCGCGTAATCATCGGATCAGACATCTGATGCTGTGAGCTGAGCATCTTCACTTGGGACTGGTGGTCAAATGCCATACTGGTCCTTGGATCCCTATCCAGGAAAGAACAGATTTGCAGTCAGTTGCAGGTAACCCATGTGCAACAGCTCCACCATCCACATGTCAGCTTGAGTCACTCCCAACAAACTCCAATTGTGGTCTTGCACATCCAATGATGAAGCACTAAAGAGTTCGGACTAGGAATCAAGCATGGCCAAGCCTGAGGTACACGAAGTAACAATGGACAAAACTATCCTTCTTTGTAGATCTTTGTAGTCCAGTGCGAGATTGACGTCCCAACATGCGTTCTCCCTGCAAGAAACCAAACAAAGATAGTAGCATGTAAGCAATGCTGATGTCAGGCACTCCATGAGTGATAAAGGAGGTGTTTAAGCATGAGGTAGCACCGGTCGAAGTCATCTGGTTCGCCTAATCCTTCAAGCATGGGAGTAAATATGGAGAGGAGTGTTTCGAGCACCATCCTGTCATTTTCCTTGTTCTGAGTACGGACAAGTGATTGGGGTTAGCTGCAGGTCTCATTTTTGGGGTCTTTGTCATGCATATGGCATGCTTCACACACCATTCAGGAAGAATAAAGAAACATCCTTACATCAGCCTCTGGAGCGGATTCGTTCTGATTACAACCTAGAATGGCATGGAGATGGGATACCAAGCGATGAGGCAGCCCATACGTCGGAGGTCCTCTTAATCTGGACAGCCATGTCCCACGTACCATATGACTGGTTTGGCTTGTAGTTACGGACGGAGATGAACTGTCTTCTTCATCCACAGATGTATCAAGATCTGTAGACAATCACATCCTAACAATGTTATGTCTATATTTACTTGAATTTACAGAATGCTTAAGAGTCATCATCATTCATCGAAATTGTCCCCGGTGCTCCACAATTGAAAGCCAAGAGGTTGTTAGATCAAAATAGGATCATCAAGCTAAGCCCTTTAGTAAGAACACAGTGTTAAGAAATCCAGCTCCTCCACCATCGCCATGACAAGAAAAGCAAGGGAAACATCACTACTTAAGTAGAAATCTACACATTACCTAAAGGTATAACATCATAAGGGTTGTCTCTTGGTAGAAAACCATAGAAAGTGATAAGATGAGATCCTGGATGCTTCCCATAACTGAGAAAACATTGCTCCCCTGCTTTGCATGGTCTAGACAGAGGAAATTTCAAAGATTTCGTAACTTTATCTACCCGACCATAGTTAAGAATGTGAGGAGAAACCTACAGAAAAAAAAAGTAAGGCATGAGACAGAAACCTGTGGACCATTAAAAGAAAATTTTGGAATCAATTCAGGGATAAAGTTGCAAACCGAGTGGTTCAGAAGTCCGGCAATAGGAATCAAGCAAGTTGTTAATTTCCCACTACTTAATACAACCATCATACTGTTAGAATACCATAATTCACATGCCCATAGAAAATTGTCCCAGGTATACACGTCTTGTTTGAATATATCAGGAAACTTTATGCACAGCATTGGAAATAACTCATCATACTGCTGGCGCAAATGCTGAAACAAAAGATAACTAACAGGTCATACCAGTTGAATAGTGATCTGAAGAATTAATATAACAATACCATAACAGTATATTGCCTGCCTAGCTTGCATTAACTCATCAAAAAGAAGGGTTCCTTCCAATGCAGCAAGTGCATCAATTCCAAAACTCAGCCCTGGAAATTCATACAGATGAAATGAATTTAAGATGAAAATAGAGTTTCTTTCAGAAGAGAATGAACTACAAATACCTGTATTGAAATTTGCTGGGAGTGCCTCGAAGTATATCTTAAACTTTGAAGATGGATTGTACCGCTCTCTGATGCTCCACAACAATAGCATAGTCTCAGTGGTGATGCTATCTAAATCTTTTAATGCAAGAAACTGCAAATCATAGAAACATATCTATAAATGATGACCAAGGAAGTAAATGTCAAAACATCGGTCTATCTACAAGAGTTTCAGCAGTAATCTTTTCATAATCTGCACTTCATATAATATGCCAAGCGTACGTGTTTCAATTTAACCGAGTCAGATAGCTTCACTTTGACAATCAAACTGAAAATATGGGAAAGTAAAAATGCAATTTTTAGTTTCCCAGAGGGTTCCATGCTAGCCAGAACTAGTTTCTGCCACCAGAAGGGAATAGTGGGTGCTTATGAAATGTGGAAATAGGATTACCAAGGAAGTTCATACCATGCCAGACTGGCAGAGAAGTTCCTCAGATATGATAGAAGACTCTGGAATTTCAAGTGCAATATCCCCCACATCTATGTTTTCAGAAGCTACCATTCCTCTCCCAGCTCCTTCAAAAACTAAAATTTCAATCAGATAAACATATGTATAATTAATTATATAAAACATCAATTGTCACATGCTCACATCAATTAGTAGTTAACTAAAATTGGTTATATGGGGAAAAATGGAGTAAATAACTAAGAATCCTGATATACAGTGAACAAACACACCTCTAGCATTTCTGCATCATCTACCATTAATAATTCAACTAAATTAACTAATATCAACTTGTCTATTATACAGCCTATAGCATGGTCATAAATACCACAGCAACACAAATATTTCAAAAACAATCAGAAAATTCTTGATTATCAAAACACAGGAGAAACTTTATTATACATAGAAAGATTGTATCATCCAGATTTTCTTGTCATCAGTTTTTTTTTCTTGTTTCTACATTCCAGTGTAAAAGACAGAAAGCTTCTCAAGTATAAATGAGTAGGATTCAGCATGGAGCAATCATGATCCATAATAGTAAAGAATGGAGAGTGTGGCACACTATCTGAGACTTGTCTGGACACTTACATGCTATTTGCAATTTAGTTTTAACACCATGTTGCTCCCCCCATTTCAGAAGAGAATCTTCCATGTTCTGGTTTCGTATTTGAACTACCATTTGGTCATTGTCTTCCAACTCAAGAGATCTGAGCCTAATAAGTATTTCATCACGTAGGACTTGCAAAACTCCCATGGCACCAACATTGGCAGTCAGAAGCAACGTGTTCAAAATTTTGAGCAACAAATTTAGAGATTCAAGTTCATTCCTTGTAGATAATGGCCCGAAATCATCGTCTCCAGTAAAATAAAGCTCAAGCTGTAGGAAATCAATGCAAACTAAATTTGTCAGATATTAGAACAGAGTAATACTCTAGAACCTTTTTCTCTTATTTCCAAAAGAATAGTGAAGGATAAAACATGTAATACCTCATCCATATGAGCTATCCTAGCAGCTTGGATTATCCTATCCAGTACTTTGAAGGCATCAGCAGCAGAACATGAGTTTGGAACTTGAAATAGACAGGATAAGTTTCTACTGTCCAATATCCTCTGCATTTATATAAGAAATGAACTTACTAAAATTTTTCGAGATGTCTGCAGCTGCAGATTCCAACGGGCATGAGAATCAAACAAACGGAGAAACTAAACATGTGTTAATTCATCTACTTGACCTTCCACATGAGATTTTAGAACTGTAATATAAGCTACTTCCTCCGTTTCATATTATAAGACTTTCTAGCATTGCCCATATTCATATATATGTTACTGAATCTAGACATATATATGTGCCTATATTCATTAACATCTATATGAATATAGGCAACGCTAGAAAGTCTTATAACCTGAAACGGAGGGAGTAGAAGATATTGTATGGTATTACAAAAGATAAGAGCATCTGCTTTTCTTCCTTGCCACTTGTGTATTTGTTCAACTTTCAAAGATTTAACTCAACCAATGAAAACTAAAAACACTTCAAGTGGAATATATCAACATTTTTCCAAATTTTCTAGATTAACTGCCTCTTAAATAAATCAACTAAAAGTGAACTTATCATCTTCATGTAGGAACGCAACAAACCGGGGTATGCGGGAAGAGCAACGCAAAAGAAACTCCATACCCTGTCAAAATCCCTAATTCACTAATTCGAACATTCATAATTGCAATGGTAGTAATGATTTACACTATATCAAGCATGGCATCGACTAAAGCTAACTTAACCAAAACATTTCGCAAGATCCAAACCAGCGGATAAAAGGGGGCCTATTTCTTTTTTCTCCATCTGCTGCTCCTACCTTCTTACCACGAGTGAAGTAAACACAGAACAAGAGAAATCCCTTTGAAACCAAATCCTAGATGAACACAAGAACAAACTATCGTGGCAGAGATTCTCTTCCTCGCGCTCGCTCGTGTGTATGGTACGGTACCTTCTTGTCTTGGAAGAGGGGGTCGTCCTGGGAAAGGGGAGGCAGGCGGACGACCACCATCTCTCCTCCTCCTCCCGCTGCTGCTACCTCCGCCGCCGCCGCCGCCATGGTCGCCGGCCGGGATGTCGGAGAGTCGCCGGCCGGATTGGGGTTTTGGCATGAAGAAGGCTGAAAGCAGAAACCTTTTGGGCCTTGTTTGGGCCGTAAGTACGGAGAAAAGAGTTGGGCCTGATATGGGTTTAAACCATTCGCCGACCAACAGTTTGAGTTGGGCCAGGATAAAATTACGAAAATGCTTCACTTCGAACGCCCGATGAGATAAAAAACGTCGGACGCATATAGCTTAGTCCTTACTTACTTGCTATTCGCTACTTTCTCGGAAAATGCTGATAAACCCTGTCTCACTGCAAAATGCATGCCTAGTTGTTTCTTTTTATTCTTTCCTCCTCTTTTTAAATATTTTTTCTCCTAAATTACTTATCCGTTCTACGAACCGATCACACCGTTGTATTCGTTGCAATTAAATCTTTAGAACAAGATATCATATGATTATATTATGTCAAAAGAAAAAACATGTGTTTCAAACCGTTAAAACTAAACGTTTCATACATGATAGTGATATATTTCAATGCGTGTGTTTCGATATGTTTCACAAAGTTCTTGAAACTACCTGTTACTAGTCTCTTTCTCCGCCTCATCCATGCATACATGTATGTATTTTAACAAACTTCAAAATGATTTTTCTCTTAAATTACTTATCCAATATATGATCCGATCATATCGTTATATTCGTTGTAATAAAATCTTTACAACAAGATATCGCATGATTATATTATGATAAAAGAAAAACAAATGTTTCAATCCGTTAATACTTGTTGTTTCATGTGTGATAGCGACATGTTTCAACGTGTATCTTCACCATGTTTCATAAAATATTTAAATGTTTCAGTTGCTGATTTTTTTTATTTCACCATATATAACTTAATGTTTCACTTGTTGGTCAACTGCAACATTTGACCGTTCGATTTTTTTCGAGGCATCGGACGTCTGATGGGTAGAGTCCTCCATAAAATTAAGGCTCCTATACTTAAGGAGTAGGCCCAGGAATGCTATTTGGCGCAACTAAAATTTGTGCAAGACTTGTAAAATCTATAGAAAATTCATTTTAGCTCCTTTTGGGATGAACCGAATTTAAGTAGACTTAGGCCTTATTTGATTCAACTTAAGATTATTATAATCTAGATTATTACAAGTAAGTTGAAACAAACAGATAGCTTATTATGATAAATTATTATAATTTATAAGCCAGATTACTATAATCCAGTAATCCACTCTAAAGGTGCTTTTTTTTTAGATTATTGGGTAGTTACTAGCTAACAAACAGCTAACAATCCAAAGAAACAAATAACTTAGAGCTTATTCTATATCAGTTTATTATAATCCAGCTTATATTAATCTGTCTCAATAATCTATATTACAATAATCTTAAGCTGAACAAACATGGCCTTACAAAATTATGCACTTTAATATTGCATATTAAAACCTTGCACTTTATGTACATAAAATACCTCTAAATTTTGAATAACAAATAATTTCTATAATATGTAGCAAAATTTCTAAAATTGACAAGGAGTCCATTCTAGATCTAATAAAGTTAAACTAAAATTTGTTAGGATCACAAGATTATGGACCTTATTTCTGTGAATTATAACCCGGAATAATTAGTACATAATATACCTTTAAATTTATGTAACATAAAAATATCCATAATTAGTATAACAATTTCCAAAATGCATATAAGATTAATTATAATTCCAAATAAAGTGATTCCAGCTTTGTTTGACTCATAATTTAGTGATCATAATTACCATGAATCGAAATATAGCAAGTCTTATACAGAATCATATCTCATAATTTAGTGAAAATGCCTGCTTGCGAAAAGCAATTATGTAGCAGTGCGTCATCTACATCGTGAATGCGTTGATCGTACCCATCTGAGGATCCTCTGAGTGGTTTCTCGAAAGAAGCTCAAAGAAGATATGGGATGTTCACTACTCTCATAGTTGCCGGTTCAATTCGTCAGCACCGAGGCCTAACTGCATAGGTGCATAGGTGCCAGTTTTAAAATTGGCACTTATAGAGATTATAGGTGTCGGTTCTATCAGTATAACCGGCACCTATAATCTTCAAAATAATAAAACATATGGGCTAGGAGAGGTGTTGCTACCGTTGGGTGGAGCTCCGGCAGGAAGACACCGTCGCGGGAGAGCGACGAGCGGGATGACGACGCCGACTCGTTGTTGTCCCTCCAGGCGTGCTCGACAATGGCACCCTATCACCGTCGACAGCGCCACCGGCCGCCACCACTGCCTCCATCTCCATATTGTGCTCCCCCTTGCCTCTGGCCTTATCTCCTTGTGCGTGGGGAGGGGAAGTGGCCTGAAGTGGCGGGGGTGGATGGGCGCAGACACCAAGCTCTAAGACCTTGTCATCAGACAGCCAGGGTAGACTAACGCAGGAGGGGAAGGGGAAGGGGAGGGAGAGGAGGTAGACCGCAAGTGGGAGAGGGAGGCGAGAAGCCTTTGGGTGGAAGTGGATAAGGATGAATGGGTGTCAGTTTGGCTTTGTTCGATTTTGTATGGGTACCCATTTTTTCAAAACCGGCAACTATAATATATGTGTCGATTTTTTTAATAACCATCACCTATTGCCAACTATAAGTGTTGTTTTTTAAATAGTCCCACATTGGTTGTGGAAGGGTAAGAAACCTAATATATAAATAGGGGAGCCCCTCACCTCATTGGCTAGCTTTTGGGGTGGGAAAGACCATTTACGATTCTACGATTGGTATCAGAGCCTAACTAGTTTAACATCTCTTGCCCTAGGGACAGAGAAATTTTAGGAGTTGAGGGAGCTACTTTTGAAGAGAAGTACCTAGAAGACTTCCTATCCCAGAGGGTAAAATGAAGAGTGAACCCTTCCAACCTGTCAAGGAAAGATTTGCAAAAAGGCTATGTGATTATAGATGGCCATTCGGTCCGCCCGGCCCAGGCACGGCTCAAGAAGAATCGGGCCGGCATGGCATAGTCGACACTTTGTTTTATCGGCCTTTTGCAGGAGGTGCGTTTTGCTCATATTGGAAGAGGGTGTAATCAGGGGCGAACGTAAAACAAAAGTGACGATATGAATCAGCAGCTGCTGCAGCTAGCGCCACCGAACAGGCCCTAAATATATACCAAACGGTAAAAAAAAACTCTTATCTGCACTTGATCCTAAGCTCTATCTAATTATTTAAGGTATAGCATGCAGCCTACAACCTTACGCAAGGTTTAAAAGAAAACGAGTATAGCAAGTAGCAGTATATTTAAGGGGGTGTTTAGATCCATGGGTATAAAGTAGTTTTGACGTGTCACATCGGATATACGGACACACATTTAAAGTATTAAACATAGACTAATAACAAAACAAATTACAGATTCCGCCTGTAAACTGCGAGACGAATTTATGAAGTCTAATTAATCTATCATTAGCAAATATTTATTATAGTACCACATTGTCAAATCATGACACAAATAGGCTTAAAAGATTCATCTCGCAATTTACTCGTAATTTGTGTAATTAATTATTTTTTCATTTATATTTAATACTCCATATATATGTCCAAACATTTGATGTGACAAGGTGAAAAATTTTACATACGGTTCCAAGCAAGGAAGGAATTTATGAACCGTGGAATATAATTCTACTAACCATCATTGAGATAAAGAACCATCTGTAATCTTTGAGACTATGAAAAGCAAAAAAGAAAAGAAAAGAAAAGAAAAGAGAAGAGGCACACGGCACAGCATTCCAGGCCACGGTGCCCCACTCTGGCTGTGTTTAGTTGGATCCAAAGTTTAGATTTTGGTTGAAATTAGAGATGATGTGACTGAAAGGTTGTGTGTGTATGACAGGTTGATGTGATGGAAAAGAACTGAAGTTTGGATCCAAACTTTTGTATCTAAACACAGCCTCTACTAGTTAGGCACTGCTGGTTTGAAGCTTCGCTACCGTTGCTGCCTCACAAACTTCAGACTTTCAGAGCATCACTCTTTGTGGGCTTGTGGCAACGCCACTAGGGATTAAAATGGCTTAGAAACAAACAGAAACTACCCTAACCATATTTCTTTTCAAATTAGAATAGTAAACGATAATTTCAGATAAAATTAAGAAACTTGATTGAATATTACTGAATAAAGATACATATATAGCAAATATAAATCGGAATGAATACAACCACAAATATTTATCGAAACATGAAAACCACTTATACTGTGCTTCCAAAATCAATATATAAACTAGTTCTTTTATCAAAAGAATATGCTAAATATAATATGTTGTTGTAAATTAAACTCTTTGTTTTTTTATAAATTTAAAAGTACTTAGCATTTTAGTTAGAGTAAATTTCATAAAACCACATGTTTTATGGTTCAAGTTACAGAAAACTACACACATTTTGACACTTGGCACTTAAGTACATATATTTTGGTAGTTTAGTTATACAAAACCACACTATCGATGAATGTATTCACCCATGAGATATCGTGGTTGTTCCATCAAGGATGAGGACGTTGCATCCTATTAATTTCATGCGATGGCTGGTAATAGGATGCCATGTCCTCATCCTAGGTGAAACAGTCACGTCATCTCGCGGGTGAATCCATTCATTCATAGTGTGGTTTTGTGAAGCTACACTACCAAAATATATGTACTTAAGTGCCAAGTGTCAAAGTGTGTGTGGTTTTCTGCAACTTGGACTACAAAACGTGTAGTTTTGTGAAATTTACTTTATAATTATGAAGTTGTATCCATATTAGAATCTCAATTTCAAGTGTTATGTGTTTTACTCTAAAATAAATAATTAATAAATGTAATTGATATGGACCTTTTTTACAAGAATAAGCTATTAAATTAATAAAGAATCAATCTATTTAATACACTATTAAATATTTAGTATCAATAATATTAATATAGTCTGTGGTTTGGAACAAGAAAAATGCTTGTCCGGTGGTATTTCGTAGAACAACTAATGTTTTTAGAAACACAATACAAATATAGACGTTTATAACACATGCACACTCACCCCTCACCCCCTGTAAACAAACATCATGCCTCTATGAGCATCTCCGAAATATTTATCTATCATATATTGAAATTGACGAAAT